CGGCGCCGCGCTGACATCATGGGGGGCCCTCGGGGAGGAAGCGGTGGAAAAGAACCGAGCCCTGCGCGGAGGCGCAGCCTGCACAGAGCAAGAGCACCTACGTGTCACGGGCGCGGGACGCCAGCGAGTGCATTTGCTGCTCATTAAAGCACCTTAATGCGATCTCGATCTATATTCAAATCACTGCAGTTTGCAGGGGAAGAAACCGGGAGCTATTTGTTTTGCAACACCACTGTGAATAGCAGCCCAGCCTTGCTAGATTGCAGCAATAAAAATGCCAGGGGAAATAAAAGATTAAGCTTTTTTTTTTTTTTTGGCATAGTTATATGCAAAAAATGTAATCTCCTTACTAAGGACACCAGCAGCCTAAATGTTAAGGCTGCAACAGATCCCTTGAAGGGGATGAGAGAGGATGGAGTTAATTTCTCATTCAAGTTATTAATTTAAACCAGAACCAGAAAACAGGGAACAAATTAGAGGAGTATCCAAATAGTTCAGCCTTCACCCATACACCAGAAATGACCCAGTCTGGCTCAATCATTCACCTGAGCTCAGCACAGAGCACCTTTGAATCCCTCAGTGTTTTCCTGGGAAACCGCTTCTGTCCACATACTGGAAGCAGATGTAGGAGCTGCTCCTGGAGGCAGAGCCACATCTGCTTCCAAGCACAGCTCTGCACTTAGGACTAGGAGAGCCTCTACAGATCACTCTTTACCTGCAAATTGTGCTGCCCAACTTGGCCTGCCCTTTAACTGGGAACTGCCTCCTCCAGCAAGACGATCACGAAACCCTTGAGGCATTTTGCATGCAGCAGCCTCCCGCCACCCACTGATATCACACGGCTTCCCGGAGCGCTGCCGCAGGAGGCAAATGAAATGCCAGCCATCACGTTGCAATATTAATGCCTTCTTGCTACTAACATCCAGTCTCTGCTGTGCTTGAGAGCAGACCCATAGGAGCTCTGTCCTAAAGCCCCAAACTTCCCTATTATTTCTTGCTGCACGGAGACTCGTTGGGTAGCATGGGAAAAATAAGTGACTGCGTATTATGAGAAGTTTATATTATATTATGAGAAGTTTATACACAGAGAAGAACCTACTCTCTGAGGCACAAAGCAGTAAAAGCAACCCCAGCAAACATAAACTTGCTAAGGAAAAGATTCTCCTCATGGGGGACATAGCTGCTCATGATTCTGTGGCTCACCCTTTCAGTCTGCTCCCTGCCATGGCAAATTCCTACTTGCAGGGGAAAAAATAGCTGTATTGCAAAAGGATGGCTAGATCAAACCCCATACCATTCTTATAGAAGAGACATTAAAAATAATTTCTGAAAAGCAGTTGTTTTGTGTCTTTTTGCAGCCCAGCAGGGAATGTGTGCTTTTGCACGATGACTAATGCCGTCTATCTGTGGGCTATGGGGAGAGCTGCTCTCCCTCCTCTGCACGGTCACATCCAGCAATTGTGCAGCCATAAGCCGAACCATTGCAAAAAGTGCTTATTTTGGGCAAGTTGGTGGTGAGTTTGTTCCCTTGCTGGATCAGCCAGGGACAGGAGGAAGCGCAGACTGTCCTTTGTAGTGGGAGTCCGCAGTCACAGCGTCCAAACGCCTGCTGAGCTGGCTTATCCAGCCCGGAGGACACTCGGAAAGGCTGCAGACACTAAAATAGCAACGCTAAAAGCTAGTTTACCACTTCAACACAATCTCATTCTAGATATCTCTCTAGTGGCTTTGACAACCAAACACGGGGAAAGCCTGAATACTTTTTGTTTTCTTCAAACCACTTAAGACTGCAGTAAGTATAGTCTGAATGTACAATAAATCCTATTTTATTCCTTTCCTCAATATCTTAACGGGACTTCACAGAAGAAAGTAACGCAGGATCCTCCACGCATGGGCAGACCAGGTCCCTCCAAACCAGCACTCGCTGACAGCGGCCAGTAGCAGA